AGTAAGACCGTACGTAGGGTATTTAGACTTGCGGGACGCCCTTGTGGTTCCCAAATAAATAATAATTGAAATAGTAGTACAATTTTTACTTCGAATGTATTTTATATAGCGACACCTATTTTTCAAATTATTGAAACCGGATTACGCCATGCAATAAATCGATTTTAATTTATTTACTCGAAAACGGTGCCTCATAAGAAAAACAGTCGAGATACCTTTTCTCTTCCAAATTGAACAAGGAATTCAAAAATAATTCTTATTTTAAGAAAAATCTGTGGCGTAGCATTTTTTTTATTAAAAATATCCAGAGACGTGCCTGTGCGCAAGCCACTGGTGAAACTGTAAACGATATTTTTATCGTAACACGTATATTGTTGTTAACTGTCAAAGCCTGTAAAATTTCATTAAAATATTCTGAGCGGTTTCCGCAATATTTTTGAATTTGCATTTTTTTATTAAAACTTTAACGCCCTGTAGATCGGAAACTAAGCGTTTTCGGAACATGGTATATCAAGGAAATATATCACAAATCACTTGTACTATAACCTCCTCCAAGGAATGCATCGACTTACCAAACACCCTGTAGAATCTAGTGGCAGTTTTTAATAATAACTTTAATGGTTTCCGAGTTATACATTGTTTTTTTTTTATTGAAACGATAGTTGGCCATGACCTAGTTAAAAATAGGTCGTATGCACTTTCCAAAAATATATAATATATCATACCTACTTATCTCAAAAAGTAAAAAGGTAGGTACAGCTAGTCATGATTTAAAACAAACTAAACAGAACCTAGTGTCACTGTTATGCTGTGCTGACAAAGGAGAAAAACAAATTCATATAATCAGTAGGGTAAACAGAAACATTTTACTTTCTGTTAATTAGCCTATGGTCAACCATTGTTTCCTTTTCCTATAAAAACGTAACGTTGTTATATATTTTTAGCGTTAGAGATATTAGCAAAATTAAATGAGCAAAAAAAGTCTATAAGATAAATTTTCAATATTTCAGAAAAAATAGTATAACCCTAGGGGATTACTGAAAGTACCAAAATTATAATGTTTTGTTTATAATTCCGAAAATATTTTAATATTTCTCTCAAAAAGTGGTCAAGGTTCAAGAGAACCGTATCTTTCTGCTTGCAATAATATCCCAGATAATAAATTTGCCATAGTTTTGACATCACTTTGTTCTCCAGATTCAAAGAAAAAGTATTCTAATAATCTCTCATTAATAAATATAACATCTGATATAATAGAACTTTTTACTAGTGACGTCACATACGCCAAATAATAGGCAATGCCATAGTGCACATTGTCATGAAGAATTTCTCAGTATTTTTACTAGATGGATTTTCGACCTTATGTACTGTGAACAAAAGTTCCAAAAAATGTGTTCTTTGACAATATTAGAAATATTTAAGAAGTTTCAAATCCCAAGTGACAAATTAGAAGACTTACAGAATTTATATGCCTATTTAAATTTATAGAACAATATTGAGTTTTATAGTAATTAATAAATTAAAATTATATCAGTGTTACTGGGCATGCGCTTTAAAGATAATTTCATGTGAAGTGAGCAAAGTAGTCTCGCAACAGGATATCATACAAGAAAAGTTTGGTTATGGTTACGTCTACGTCAACTTTGTGATTTTTTGCTCCTAACGTTTGTAACAATTTTTGATATATTATCATACCTAAAAGATCAGTTAGTGTGAGTGCAATTTTTGTATACCTACTTTGAAGAGAAGAAGCTGATCGAAAAAGGAGAAAATTTTGTTTCTTTTGGTTATGTACAAAAAATGCTTTATGCTTTATATATATATATATATATAATCTGAAGGAATTGACCGAAATCGGATTTCTCCAAATATCTAGTCAGCCATGACGTTTTTTCAAAAAATGAAAGTAACATTTAATAAGGATCATAAAACTGCACATCTTTCCTCATTTAAGCTTTTTAGTATCTCTGCTACTTTCCCAGATCCCTACACCAAACTGACCCTGTATAAAACTGTATGAACTTGTATCACCTTACTTTTTCACATCATATCCTCTACAAAGCTATACTTATGTTCTATGGCATTCTTAATAGTCCATGCAACGAGATCCCAATAAGAGGGTAATACCACCACGTCCTCGAAATCCCTATGAAACCTTGACTAGTCCTTTTTTTTTAATGTTTAAAATGTATATTTTCCTGTTGCGTGTTGGGGTAGATTTTACCCGTGGGGTAGGTCCTGGGCATATAATTTATTATTATTCATAAAAAAAATCTGATCCGACGAGCCCTCGCAGACCCAAGACCGAGTACCAGGAATGGTTCTTCACGGGTCTGGTAGTAGAGGTTCAGTCTACGAATTCATCACCACCGTTTTTCTTACCCTCGACTAGACAGGGTAATGTTTTTCAAAAGATTAGGCGGTCGTTGTCCTGTCGCATCGCGGACCATGCTAGTCTCGACCGCGCGCGGTGAAGGTCCTTCCCATGTTTTATAATGTATACATTCGCACTAAACATTCCCGAGCTCGTCTCGCTCGCATCGCGTTCTCAACCGATCTTTTCTAAAGAATATCGGGAGACCATAGGAGAGCCAATAAAAATACCTCTTCCATAGAACTCATTTTCTTAAATATTAAAACAATAAAGCAACTATTTAAGGAGAGAGCGAGGAGGATTATGTGCGATTTCCAAATGCGACTGATTTTGTAAAAGACCGCGATCAGCTCAACCCAGACCGCGACGGCCTAATCCGTGCTTCTCTAGTAAGACCGTACGTAGGGTATTTAGACTTGCGGGACGCCCTTGTGGTTCCCAAATAAATAATAATTGAAATAGTAGTACAATTTTTACTTCGAATGTATTTTATATAGCGACACCTATTTTTCAAATTATTGAAACCGGATTACGCCATGCAATAAATCGATTTTAATTTATTTACTCGAAAACGGTGCCTCATAAGAAAAACAGTCGAGATACCTTTTCTCTTCCAAATTGAACAAGGAATTCAAAAATAATTCTTATTTTAAGAAAAATCTGTGGCGTAGCATTTTTTTTATTAAAAATATCCAGAGACGTGCCTGTGCGCAAGCCACTGGTGAAACTGTAAACGATATTTTTATCGTAACACGTATATTGTTGTTAACTGTCAAAGCCTGTAAAATTTCATTAAAATATTCTGAGCGGTTTCCGCAATATTTTTGAATTTGCATTTTTTTATTAAAATTTTAACGCCCTGTAGATCGGAAACTAAGCGTTTTCGGAACATGGTATATCAAGGAAATATATCACAAATCACTTGTACTATAACCTCCTCCAAGGAATGCATCGACTTACCAAACACCCTGTAGAATCTAGTGGCAGTTTTTAATAATAACTTTAATGGTTTCCGAGTTATACATTGTTTTTTTTTTATTGAAACGATAGTTGGCCATGACCTAGTTAAAAATAGGTCGTATGCACTTTCCAAAAATATATAATATATCATACCTACTTATCTCAAAAAGTAAAAAGGTAGGTACAGCTAGTCATGATTTAAAACAAACTAAACAGAACCTAGTGTCACTGTTATGCTGTGCTGACAAAGGAGAAAAACAAATTCATATAATCNCATTCCCATTTGAAAAAATTTAGGGGATAGCACCCCCACTTAGGGGGTTGAAGATTTTGGTATGCTTTTTGAGCCAAAAGTTGTCCCCCTCAGAAACAAATTTGACCTGTTTTTGGATTTTGCCGAAAAGTTCTTTACTACCCTGTAATGCCTTGCGGTACGTTTTATATGGGCTACCCTGTATATACAGTCGCAGTATAGTGCTAGTTTACATAATAAACTAAAGTTTAACTTATGAAAAAATAAAAGATTTAATGAGGAAGTTGATATGCTGCAGGTTTATTATGAATGTAGAATAACCATTGTTGCTGCTTTACAATTATATAGACAACGTTATCCTAATAGAATTTCCCCTAACGGAATAAAGTTTAGTAAACTTGACGCATATCTAAGACTTTATGGAATGCTAAATAAGAAAAGAGTATGCTTGCAATGAAAATGAAGAATTGATTTACTATTAATTGTGCAAGAAAATCCGAATACTTCCATACGGGAATTAACCAGGAATCATAATTTAGCCGAGTACGTTGTGTATAAAATTCTACGAAAACATTGTTTCCTTCCAGGGTAAATTTGTTTCATTATTTTCATGAAAATGACTTGAACCAAGAATACAGTTTTATCGTTGGTACTTAAATAATGCAAATAATAATCCCAACTTTCCAAAAATGATTTTATGGACAGATGAAAGTAATTTTTCTAACGGCATGTTTAACCGCAATACATCATACCATTGGGCATTGGAGTCATGAAAATCCTAGAATTATAAGAGAAAGAAATTATTTTCATAATCGATTTCATAAGTTCAAAAATATTGGGGACATCTATAAACCTGTGGGGAATATTCATGTAAACATATCATGCTTTTAGTTTTTTTTAAGTTATGGACAAATATCCAAATGCACTTGTACCTATCCTAAAGGACTAGATACATGCTACCGCATGACAGCATTGGCAGCTCTTGCCATCTTTGCTCACACCAATTTGTCTACTAAAGGGATGGCTTGCAAATGGAACAAACCAAAGAGTAGTACAGAAAATACATTAATGATGACAGCGATGACATATCAACACGATCTCACCTGCGTATGAGGCTATTCTTTCGCAGCATGCGCATTAGGGCTAATGTTAATTTTTTACTGTATTTAAATTTAGGAATATTCATTTATATCGTTTTTTGTAAGTTTTAAGCCCATTAGTGTACCTATTTTACAAAACACGCGTTGGTTGTACTTCTAAATCCTTCTGAAAATAAATTAATTTGAAATTGTCCATTTTTATAGTATGTAAATATTGTAAATAGTACACAAGGGTCAGATTTGGTCTGTACAATTTCAACTATGACAATTTGTTGCGGGTCGTACTTAAAGAATCTATTAATGCCGAAATTAGTTCTAGAAACAGCGTCAACAGAAATGATCTTGACTTGGTACATAATGAAATAGGGGTGTGGAATCAAAACCAAGGCACAAGACCCATTAAACAGGCAGAGAGCAGACGACCATTGACCCCAACGGAAATAAAGAATATGGTATTAATGGCTGAGAGAGAGGCAGAGGTGGGCTATTTATATAATTGCTTTTTTTACAAAATATTTCTATTTTAAAGAAATAAATTTCTGTTAAAGTAATATATAGGTTAAATTATTCACTGAAGATACGTTTACTGTTCTTATTTCAGATAAAACAACATCTACAAATGCAAAAACAAAAAATCCATGAGGAGAACATCCGCCTTCAGGAGCAACTAAGTAACGCATTGAAGATTCAACAGAAATTAAAACAGCAAGCTGCAATGATGTTTAATTCTAAAATATCACAGAATGCCATTCTTCCAACGATCAATAATAGTACAGCACAATTCAGTCAATTTTTGCAAAGCCCTCCGGACACGTTTGCAACTTCCATTTCCACTGGAACGATTCTTCCTCGCTTAGATGCAGGTTAGAGTTTGGCAATATTCATAAGTAACATTTATATTGGTACATTCCTAAAAACGAGTTTCTATAAATTACAGTGTGATTCATAACGTGTGTAAAAATAACAGAGTGACGCGTAACGTGTATTTTATTTTCTTATTTGTCTTCTTTTTTCAATGTAAAATTTTTAAAACTACCTTTATAACTTTTTACCTAAAGGTTTATATTGATTGACTTTTTACATTTTTTCACAGGTGGCAAAATACCCAATAAATAAAGAAATAACAGGTGTAAAATATTAAGCTTATAGTAAATAATATACATTCAGTAATGATAACATACAGTGTGTCCTACTTAAGCATTAGCCACCCATGTAAAATTGTTATTTGTTGACCGATTTGTTTAATTTTTTTATTTGTTTGATAGATCTCAGAAAAAGGAGTAGAATGTATAACTTCGGTATTTTCGTGGTCCAGGTCATGGCCAACTGAGACGCGTTTTATAGGAAGGACAAACGAGAAGTAATATTAGCAATTTTTTTAAACAAAGACTGTACGGGATTCTTATTCAGGACTATCTAAAACCCGACTATACCAATTTTTGTTGTGATAGAATGCAGGGTGTTGCAGTAAATTAAACCTTAATTTTTTAAACCAACTGAAGATTTATTTACGAAGCACATGCATTATTTGAATATATCAGTATTATTCAAATTATTAATAAAGGAAACTTATTATTATTATTATGATTTAATACTTTTCAATACGTCGACGACTATTAATTGTTACTTTTCGTAACTGTTACCTAGTTATGTTACGGCAAGTGTCTGTAATACGTTCACAAAGTTCTCGCGTTGGGGGCCTCGTAACATAAACTTTATTTTTAACAGCTCCCCACAAAAAAAATCTAGAACATTAGAAAAACCTGCACGGTAAGGTCTATATGGATACCTAACACTATATTCCCAACATACACTTCTAGTGTTACCATCACACTACCCATAAACGTAAATAACGTCAGCAAGTTCTTCGTTACTAGACTGCATTTTACAAGAAACACTAACATAAAGTCATTCAACGTTATACAAAAATAATTACTTGATGACCAGTTATCAAATAATCAAACTTTTACTTTCATAGCTGCCTTGTTTTACATTTTTTAAAATATCTCCTAAACAAAACCCGATCTGAAAAAAAGTTATTCCTTTGTTCATGTGTAAAATTTGATTTTACATATTACTAACATTTCATGTTAGCTGTCTAGTTACGAACTACCCGGTATAAGAATTTTATAAAAATTCTTAATGTTAATTTGAATAAGCTTAAAGTTAACAAAAACGTATAATTTTAAAAATAACAAAACATAGTCGAAAAAGTTAAACTCATGAATGGTGGAGAATTGAAATCATATGAAAAGAGTTACTTATTACGATAATAATTATAAATTCAGGAATTGGTAACTTTTTCATTTTCGACATTAGGAAATGTTTCCTAGAAAGACGTATAGTCCTTTGGTGACTTCAAAAATTCATTTTTAGAAAAAACAATTGAACATTACCTATGCGGCTTTTAAATGTAAATTTTTTTTAAGGGCAACACCCTGTTTTGTGGTTTCAAAAATATAAATATGTCATATTTGGCTTGAGTACCTAGGTGAATTAAAGCATACGACATATTTATATTATTGAAATTATAAAAACCTACAGATTATAAAAAATATTGTATGTTTCATTTAAAGAACATCTTACAATTTTATATGCTATGTTAATAGTTTTTTTTCCAAAAATGGATTTTTAAAACCTTCAGAGGAAGTGATTATTTTCGGTATAGGTCAATTATTTAAATAAAATATCGAATAACAAATAACTATTGATTCTAAATACAGCACATAATATGATCATTTTTCAATTTATGCTGAAAAATTGCAAGCATCTACAGGGTCATCCATTTAAAAAAACAGAGATGATCAGTTTTATATTTGTAGTATCATACCACACAATGAGTAAATTGATCCAGTTATGTGAACATATTATATTATGTTTTTAGATATATTAATTAAATAATATTGAAAAGAAAAGAAAATGAAAATACTTATTTAAAAAATAAATAGTTACCCCTAAAGATAAAGGGGTTGTTTTTATAAGCAGTAGATTTAATTAAAAAAAGATGCTAAAGAATGTGATAAATACAGATACAATTATTACAATACAGATATATATCATATATCAATTAACATATGTTTTTATTTCTAGCTTCCTCCCAAAAAGGTTTGCAATTATCGGCGCAAAACCATCTACAGCAGCAACAAAAGCCCCTACAAAATAAGAAGCATGAGCCTTACTACGATAACTCCAAACTTTATGGAAACGATTCCCCTTTTCTGAAAGGAGTTGACATTTCTAAAGCTGCAACAATTACGTATGACCCATTCTACAGTCCAATTTTAGAGAAAATAGATAAAATATTAGAAGTGTTTGGTTTCAATGAAGAATCCTGCAAGGAAAGGCTGATATGTAGTATGTACAAAAACCCTCCAAAATATAGTCCCCACAGTAACCTTCTTTCAACAGAGCTAAGTAGGTAAGTGTTATCTAAAGTACCTGTACTTAATTCCTATGTAAAGTATATATTGGCTTAACGTACTCCCTTTATAATTTTGACGTGGATACGTACATAGTCTGTATGATTATAAAGGCCTCGAGCTATAACTCAGTTACCCATTTTTGGACACCCTGTACAGTATATATATTTTTAAATTGGATGTTATTTTCTTTATACTGGGGTACTTTTTTTTCGTGACACTAAGGTGACTGGTGACGTCATCGATATTCTTTTTAAATGAGATTGTATAATTTTTTTTGCGCGTTTTGATTGATTTATTTTTTTTCTTTCCAACCATATAAAATTTGTATGCCTTTGTATAAAGAAATTCTTGAGAAAAAAATGAGAAAACTTTCAGACTTTGACTTTATTTTACGGTGCTCGCTTTCTAAATCATATCAAATAGAAGACATATCGATTTGTTTATAATTGTTGTCACCTTTCAAGTTTATAACGAAATGAAAGATTTTAATGAGGAAGTAGATATGCTGCAGGTTTATTATGAATGTAGAAAAAACATTGTTGCTGCTTTACTATTATATCGACAAGGTTATCCTAACGGAATAAAGTTTAGTAAACTTGATGCATATCTAAGACAGTATGGAATGCTAAATAAAAAAAGAGTATGGTTCCAATGAAATCATATTCATTGAAATCATATATCATAATAGTAAATCACTATTATCTAATTGTGCAAGAAAATCCGAATACTTCCATACGGGAATTAACCAGGAATCATAATTTAACCGAGTACGTTGTGTATAAAATTCTACAAAAACACTGTTTCCTTCCAAGATGAATTTGGTTCATCATCTTCATGACAATGACTTTGAACCAACCACTACAGTTTTGTCGTTGGTACTTAAATAATGTAAATAATAATCCCAACTTTCCAAAAATAATTTTATGGACAGATGAAAGTAACTTTTCTAACGGCATGTTTAATTGCAATACATCGTACCATTGCGCATTGGAGCCATGATAATCCTAGCATTATAGGAGAGACATTTTCAATATCGATTTCATAGGTTCAAAAATGTTGGGGATATACTACTTTGATGGTTCTTTAACGGTATAACAAGAGATCAGTTACAAGAGTATTTGGAAGCATTAACAATTAATGAGTCCATATTATTTTCCAACAAGACAGTGCACCTCCTCATAATGCCCAAAAACATAAATTATTTGAATGCTACATTTGAAGACCTCTGGATTGGTATATGAGGACCCATATATTGGCCGCCATGATCCTCAGATATTAATCCATTGGATTTCTTTCTGTGGGGTTTCGTAAAAAGTTTATCTATCACCACTAAATAACATTGATCAGTTGAAAGACAGAATTAGTGCCGCAATAAATAATATTCCATATAACCTTAAATTAAATGCAGTTAATTTGAAGATGCGAATTATGTATCGAAATGGACAACAGTTTAAAGAGTAGGTACTATTAAATTTCACCATTCATTCCATTTTTTTTGCGTTTAATATTGTATTGTACTTTTTTTTAATTAATATTATTAAGTTATTGTCACATACATATTTTCCTATATCTTAACTTTCTTAGATTTAATTCAAGTTTACTAAAATTTCTTCTGTTAGGAAAAATTCTATTAGGATAACGTTGTCGATATTAATATAAAGTCGCTACACTGTTTTTTATACATTACATTCATAATAACCCTGCAGTATATCAACTAATTCATTAAAATCATTTACCTACGACCACTACTGTAAATACTTAAAAACACACCGTCTGCGATCAATGTAAGATTCCTATTACGTACGGTAAAAAAATCGCACAGTTTTCCTAGCAACCGCCTAGCAACAGTCAATACAATACTGTTTGTATTGAACGTTGCTAGGCGGTTGCTAGGAAAACTGTACGATTTGTTTACCAAGCTGTGCGATTTTTTTACCGTACGTAAAATAGGAATCTTACATTGATCGCAGACGGTGTGTTTTTAAGTATTTACAGTAGTGGTCGTAGGTAAAGTATAGTACGCAATACGTGGTGTAATACGTAACTTTTCCATTCGTGCGTAAAATGCATTTTACAACACTTATTACGTAATATACTATTATTTTGTTATAAATTATAAGTTGAAAGGTGACAGCAATTACAAACAAAACAAAAAAAAATACAATCCCAAACAAATATCGATGACGTCACCACCCATTTACAGCGAAGGAAAAAAAATTATGTCCGTATATAGAAAATAACATACCTTTACAGGGTGTGTGTATAGTACTCTTTGCGCAGTCCGAAATCGTCCTCAAAACAATTTTGATGGCTTACCTATATGGGTAATCAAAATCGTAGAGAAGTAAATAGAACCTCTTTAGATTGGTATCATCAAGACATCTAACTAAGTCCTAACTTTACAACTTTAGAAATTGCTAAAATTCCTGAAATTTCATACTTAATTGCAGAGGAGCGACTCTAATGAGCATGATACACTAAATCTTAAAGAGCACTTTTATAAACAATTTGAGGCCTTGTGCATCAAAACCTTACTTTCGAAAATTATATTCATCATACAGAAATGATATCTGACAGTCTTCTGGTTTGTTCTATAACTCGCTACAAGTTTGTGAGCCAACTTAGAAAAAAATTGTAAAAACTAAAATGTATGTATGTTTTGAAATTAATGACACTTGAAAATTGGGCTGGTATAATGCTTTATTTTTTACTTTACAACGTTTTGCAAAATACATGTGTGCTCTATAGTGGACTGTAACACACTCCTCTTTTCATGTTCGTTCTCCCTTTTCACACACTTATGCACNGAGAAGACTGTTTTGAAATTAATGACACTTGAAAATTGGGCTGGTATAATGCTTTATTTTTTACTTTACAACGTTTTGCAAAATACATGTGTGCTCTATAGTGGACTGTAACACACTCCCCTTTTCATGTTCGTTCTCCCTTTTCACACACTTATGCACACCTCGCGCCATCTGTTTGTCCACACACGAACCACATATAAAGGGTGCCACGCACTTTTGTTTTTTAACTAAGAAATCCCAACAATGTAATTATTATTAAACACATTACTGTGACGACACTTCGAGGTTTTTAAATATTAGAATCGGCGAACAACGGAAATATATTAAATTGGGAAAATTTCAGAAATCAGAAACTTGTGAGCACCCGTAATGATAATGGAAATAACGTCATATTTTGTAGTTAAGAGAAATAATATAATAATACAAAAATTTTGGAAAAAGGAAAATGTCCGAGTTTATTTTCCAGAACTGTGATAAAATAATTCCTTAAATTTTAATAATTATTGTTTATTGAATGTTCTGAGTTTATTGATGTTCTGAAGTAACTAACAAAAAATAGTGTATACATTTTTCATTGAAATTTTCAAACTTTTATATAAAATTATTTAAAACTTCTTTTGCTTTCAGTGACATGACACATTTTTCTGAGCGTTGCTCTAAAATCTATAGAAAATTTACTAAAACTTTGATTAATAAAATACAAAAGGAGCAATGTCACTTTTCGTTTTTATTATTTGTTTTACTGAAAAATTGTTTATAAAATAAGTTATTGTAGTACTGGTATTTTACTGTTTATTTAATTGACAATTTTAATAATGGTCTTTTATCCTTCTTTTTTGATGTTTTTTTTAATACAATCTCATGTTTTATATATTGAGAAAGGAAATAAACATTTCCGAAAGCTTGACAACAAACACAGAGTGTTTTTAAGATATTATCCCTTAGCACTGTTGATTGCATTCCCAAATGTATCACTGGTTTTTCTTCTTAACTAGCCAGTCAAGATATATTGTCAAATGAATAGTTACATTTAACTATGTGATAAACATTCTTTCTAGATGTGGGTGAGATATAATATAAAATGAGTTGCATTTTAATAATTGTCATTGCTACAATATGCCTTCAGGCATAAAACACACTGATAAGAACTATGTATATTTACTAAATATCGCGAATGTAAATTAATTTATTTCCCGCGACATTTTGAATCTAGAAACCAATTATTTGACATTAGACCATTTTTCAAATAAAATGAAAAACATATTTTTTTTAGAAATATTATTAAAAGTTAAATGCATTTATTCAATTTCGAAAATAATATAATAATGTACATGTAATATTTTCAGAGAGACTAAAGACCTTCAAAAACCAACTTCTACTAATGCAGCGGTAATTAGATTTTATAAATACGTCCAGGCAGCAAGAGATGGCCAAGATCAACGAGACTGTATGAAACTTTATCTAGCATGTAAGACCAATATGGAAATATAAAATTAACGATGTAATTTTTAATCCAGCTCAGTTGTAGTAGTTTTTTAATGAAATGGTTTGATTTAAGTTGTTTCACTAGGTACTAATATGTTATATGCTTATTTATTTATTTATTTATTTATTTATTTATTTATATATTTATTAACAAGTCCTTCCTTACACGTATAACTCGATTAAAAGGTAGGTTCGTCGGAGTATCAATTTCTGTCAGAAAAAAGGAAAAACAAATCGAAATATTATACAGGGTGTAACTTTGAGTGGAGGTCATATTTATACAGAGGCTTCCTTTGTCCTTTACAAACAGGGATCAATAGTTTATTTTTTCAAATTCCAGCGTAAAAACTTAATTTTTTTAACCTTTTATTAGTAATTTTCTTACCGTGCCGCTGGAGAAGCTAGTGTAACCTCAAATATCGCCTAACCTAATCTAACCTAACCTAACCTTTTGTTAGCAATTTTCTTGCCCTGCCGCTGGAGAAGCTAGTGTAACCTCAAATATCGCCGCGATTTGGTCGCAGCGCATGCACACTTCCACATCATTCGTCGCGAGTTAGTCTGTTGATGGCTTCCAGTGACAAAAAACATTTAAATTCACAGTTAGAAATGCGAAAATCACCGTTTACCAGCATACTATCTCCCTTCACATGCATAGTAGATTGCCTGTAATTCACGTATGTGTAAAACATGAATATTACAGTGGCGGCGTACACAAGTATTAAAGTGCATATTAAAAAACTAATTATAGCTCGACTATTTATTTAACTAAAAAAAAGAATTTCAGATTCGTATTCAAGAGAACGCGTACTATTTATTACCCCTCAAAAACTGATCTCCACTTAAAGTTATGTCCTGTATGTCAGCACTAGTAATAATTGACTTAGAATTTAGTTTAAAATTAATTTAGAATCACTATTCGTTTTAGTCTGTCGATTATTCAAGATAAAGATTTAAGGGATACCATGCACTAGGCGGCCTGGCACGGCCTTTCTGCCGTGCGTGCTCTCATTTATGTAACATATTCCCTTTTTACCGGCCACCGTTGCCAGGTCGCGTGCTAGCTCTAAATGATATTTTGAAATATTTTATAGCTGATGTGCAATAATCACGTTATTTGACAATTTGGTTTATTTAATGAAGGGGTATACAGAGGAGATAAAAATAGATTTAGTACTTCATAAAATAATTTTTCCTATCGGGTTTCGTTGTGGAGTTATTCGCCTTCAAAGAAAGAAGTTTGAAAAACATATTCCAATTATAACTTCTAAGTCGTTCCCATAACAACAATGAAATTTAGGCAGTTAAAGTAACTCATGGTAATATTCATTTCCAAGTTTAAACTAATATTCAATATGTCTGGATTATACAGGAGCAGACGAAATTATCTATTTATATATCGTTGACAGCGTTGCCAAACTTGACATTTTTCTGCCATAGTTCGATTCCTCTCTCACTTTGCTAAAAAAAAGGTATACCGTATATCAGTCGATATCTTATTTTTGTGAAAATCGAATTTCATTAACAACATATATTTATTGTATCAAAAATGTGATACTAACATTTTTGTAAAAATCTTGGTTTCTATAGAATTAAAAAAGAGATCTGTTAAGTAAGATGTTCAATATGTGCACCTTGAACTTCAATGCATTTTCTGCTCAAACACCTCTGCTGTACTCGAAATAACATGTGGTGATCATTTCTAATGATTTTGGTGTATGTAGTTATGAGATTTAATAATTCTTCCCTACTATTTACAGGAGTTTGATAAAAAAAACTTTTAAGAAGGCCCCAAAGAAAAAAATCAAGAGGATTAACATCAGGAGACCGAGGTGGTAACGGAAAAAGACTATCTCGACCGATCCATCGATCGGGAAATATGGTATTTAAATAAGATCTTACTGCCCTGCTAAAATGGGGTGGTGCACCATCGGGCATAAGCCACATGTTATTTCAAATATTTAAAGGGACGTCTTCTAATAACGGGTTAAGGTGTTCTTGCAGTAAATGTACCTATATTAACCTATTTATCCCCATTTAAAGTGTCATCAATGATATGTGGTCCCACTAAGTAGTTTATACCCATCCATACAATATTGATAAATTTTTGTTGGTGTTTTGTCTGAATAATAGCATGGGGGTTTTCGTCACTCCAAATACGCAAATTCTACTTAGAAAGCTGTTGGCGTATATCCGAACAGCTTCAGAAGCATTACATTCTACAAATTCATACATTAGATGATTATCTGCAAATACTTTATAGCTAAAATATTGAATCAACAAATGGTGTCAAAATGATTTATGACAAATATCTAACTGCTAATTATACATACTTGTTGACAGTCATCTCAATTTCCATAGAAACTAAAATTTTTACAAAAATGTTAATATCGCAAAGATACATGTACATTGTTAATAACATTCGATTTTCTCAAAAACGGTACAAGATATCGACTGTATACCTTTTTTTAGCAAAGTGAGAGAGGAATCGAACTATGAAAGAAAAATGTTAAATTTGACAACGCTGTCAAAGATGTATAAATTTAAATGGATAATTTCGTCTCCTCCTGTATAACCCGGGCATATTGAATATCTGTTTAAACTTGGAAATGAACATCACCTTGAGTTACTTTAATTGTCCAATTCATTGTTGTCATGGTAACGACTTAGAAGTTATAATTGGAATTTGTTTTTCATACTTCTTCCTTTGAAGGCGAATAACTCCACAACGAAGCCCGAAAGGAAAAAAAATATGAAAGATTACAACTATTTTGACCTCTTCTGTATATCCCTTCATTTTTGACATGACTTTTCTGGACACCGGATATAGTGTGCCCTTTTAAGATCCAAATATATTATTTATTAATAATTCTATATCAATATGGCGTTCGAAATATAGACCACAAAAAACTATTTTTGTATCAATATGTATTTATGAAATTATATGTCCAAATATATACAGGGTGTCGCGCTTAAACATGGTACAAGCCTGTAACTTCCTTATTTTTTCAGCATCTCTTAAAACGCCTTATCACCAAGTTTCATCAAATTCAATACAGCTTCAGGCGAGCACTCCATGATGTCGCGAAATGTGATACAAGCCTGTAACTTCTTTATTTTTCGGCTGATATCAAAAATTATTTTTATAGAATGTAGGGTAAAAAAACTCTAAATAACTGTACTACTTCTGTTTTTTTATTAATGCAATACACGGCCAACTAGTACTCGTCTGAAAATGTATCGAATTTGATGAAACTTGGTGATAAGACGTTATAAGGGATGCTGAGTGAGAATACGTAATATGTTTTTTGGAAAAAAAATCGATAATACGAATTAGCTGTTTTGACGTCAAAAAAGCACGTCCTAGTCGGCCGTGAATTGCATTAATAAAAACAGCAGTATCACAGTTAGATAGAGTTTTTTCACACTACATTCTAAAAAAAAAATTTGAAATCGGCCAAAAAATAAGGAAGTTACAGGCTTGTATCACATTTAAGCGCGACACTCTGTATATAGAATATTTATGAGACAAAAAATAGTAAGAAACTTATTTTGTCATAAAAGTTGTACGTCACATATTTCAAAGCACTCCAAAACATTTGGTAACGAACGTTAACCATCATTTTATATTCTTAAATGAAAGATACATTAACCAATAATGTATTTAAAATTTTAAGTGAACATATTCATTTGCTGTACCTCTTACTCTGTGTGTCTTTGAGAAACGTAGGATGATATTTTTCAGATTTTTTTAATATAATTCTATTTTTTATTTTTGGTTTCTATAACAAGATAATCTTTTTATAAAGAAATATACTCAGTACCACTAATATGTAAATAGGTTATTTATTCTATTATTACTTATTTATCTAGGCTATCAGGAATAACAAGCAAATTAGGCAGATATAATTTCGATGTGACAATAATCTATAAAAAAAGTTTTAACATAGAATGTTACACAAATAAATAACTTAAGCCAAGATATGGTAATAAATGGTCACGTGAATTAAAATCCAACACATAAAAATAGTTACTATTTATTTCGAAATGCTAGTCAGTTGGCAATTAAAATACATGCCAACGATTCGTGGTAATTTAATGTTTTATAATTCTTTTAAGTGTAAAATGTAAAAATCGGAAAGGAAAATTTTGATTAAATTAGATTGTTTTATGTAGTTATCTGTAATCCCTTCTGTAGTTATTTAAAATGTTATGGTAGATTTTAAGTTTTTGCAATTTGACTATAAATTGATGGTATTTTTAATACTTATGTAGACCATTTCCAAGAATAAAAGAATAATCTTTTTTAATAATACTTTTTTCCAAAATTATTGGAACATGAAAATCAAAGTTTGTTAGGTATCTACTTATACAGGGTGGCCAAATGAAAACGAAACAGAACCATTTTCAGGAACTGCGTCAAGATTGTAGAAAAACGCTCAGATCCGTCGATTTTAGATTAAAGGGGGACATTCTTTGCTGGTATTTTTGACTCCGCCACTTTCACTTCCAAGCAAGGGTAAGCATCACCCCAAAATATTTAAATGGCATTGGTTGTTGAGTAATATTTCTTTTGAAAGCTCTTACAATTCTCTTTACAACATACTTTAAATTTTATAATTCCGCCCAATACTTTGAAAAAATGTACATTTTAAAATTTAAATTATGTTTAGTTGCGTACTTACTACTTAGTTGATTAAATGTTCAAACTAATGACCGCTTCCCATCAAGAATAAATATTTTGTTCGAAACGTTCGCGCACATTCCGAAGCATTTCCGGAGTGATTCGACGGCATTCGTCGACGATTCTTTGACGCAAATCTTCCAGCGACGCTGACTGTGTTTTATAGATTTTACTTTTTAGGTATCCCCACAAAAAGAAATCAAGGGGCGATAAATCCGGTGATCGTGGAAGTCACTCAATGCTGCCTCTTCTCCCAATACAATTCCGTAGAAAATGTTGGTCCAAATACTGACGGACAATTAACGCATAATGCGGAGGAGCACCGTCCTGTTGAAAAATCAAATGAACTTCATCATACTATGGAACATTTTCAATAATATCAGTCAAGACATTG